GAACCTCTCATTGGAGAGCTTGATTAGGTTTCAGGATGAACACATGGGTCATGAGCTTGTGCGCCACAAGGCTCAGGAATATGTCAGGAAGCGCCCCAATTACAACAACACACGTCGTCGATTGCTGGCAAAGGTCATTGATCGAGACAAGCAGCTTATTTGACTCTTTGTTCTTTATGTTTGTATGTTGTTGACCGACTTCATGAATTTCACACAGCAGCAGCAACCATCATAAGGCAGAAAAAGAATGGAGTTTGTTGTGAGCGACTGGCGAGACTATGTCAACGACATTCATGCCGGTGCCACCGTGGGAGTTGCTTCAAGCGTTTTCAGAACCTACTTGGCAAGCTCAACCAATTCTTGAGTCGGTTTTGGGGAATGGATAAACCGAAGCAAGACTATTTTGTCGGATCCTAAGGACGCTCACTCAAGTCTTTTTGTCATGTGAACTCTGTCCCTGAATCGGTTTATTCTGCGGGTTTTTTTGAGCTAAGATGAGATGGGTCGTGGACAAGGTGCCAGGGAACACTAAGCAATGGTCGCTTCTGGGGAGACACGTGGCTCCCAAATGTTTGGCCTCGCTATGTGGTATCCATTCTCGAAGATTGTTGAGGGCACGCCAGGGGGATGTTGATCATAGGTTCGGTTGTAATGGGGCAGCTGCCAAGCTGCATCCATACGTGATCGCCTTTTTTCAATTTACTACACACAAGTTTGTGATTCCAAGTTTGCAATATGTTTGATCTACAACAGCCTGAGTGAGGTTGGAACGAAGATGGCTGTGAAGCGAAGACAGGTGGACATGTTTCTGCTTGGCCTTTATCAAGGTGCAGCAGGAATGCTTCCGAATAAGTTGCTTGGAACCATAAAGAACCACACTTTTCAAAAGTGCTTGATCAATAGTGAAATGACCGTGGCAGTGTTGCGTAATTTCAGGTTCCAACGGGCTGCTCGGTCCAGAGATTGCCCAGAGAAGCTGTCCGCATTGCTGGGATCGTCCGATCCAGGAAACTCATGTTAGACATGATCATAACTTTGGTTGTGCACCCCAGTTATGGCATCGTGAGCATTTTCCTTTTGTTATTTTTCATGAGGAGACGAATGTGACGAATCTGATGATAGTGATGCAGAGGGTGATGTATTTCATATTGGTTCGGAACGCCTAGAAGAAGATGAAGAACTCCGATTATACATTTTAGGTGTGAAGAGCTTCTGGACCAAGTTCATGCCTTACTAAATGTTCAATATTCATGCAACCGTTCTGCATCACAACTTTTTGGGCGGTGGCTGAACATGGCTGAACATTGCGAGGTATGTTGAGAGCAACGCTGCCCAATGCATTTCCCAGCTGCCTACGAGATGGTTGCCACCAGGTTCGATCAGACTTTTGTACTATCAAATGGACAACTCCCAAATATCGTGTCTTGGTGACCTATAGCTGTGGGGTTTCAATTGTGTTTATAGTGAAATACGATTGGGCGCTTGCCTGTGCCACCTTTGAGGTACATCACGTTCTGGCGGCGATATGATACTGTCTGGCGGAACACGCTGCGGTTCTTGGCACCCACGTGCCAAGCCTCATGTGATCAGTGCGTGGATTGCAAGGAGGGATTCCGTCGGGCCAGGGAGTCTTTGAGGTGATAATGTTTGTTTCAGTCAAATCATTTGATGTAGGTATACAGGCTTTAGGTGCTTCGATCGAAACTAAGGACAACCAATCGAGATTCGATGTAGCCCAGACCTACCGCGAGCACCTGAAACAGGTGTATGCCGATAGAGGATTGGAAGAATGGTTGCAGGTGGGACGTGCTTACTTCATGATCTGTTGTTGAGGGATCTTGAACATATTCAACCCAACAAGAAATCTAATCTCACGAGGCCCAATCCCCACTACAGAACGAGGAAGCACCATTGGGAATCCACATGGCTGCTCAGAAGCAGTTTTAAACAAAAACGGAAAATAGTTTGATGATCATTCAACACACAATTGTCCAAGGACGGGATGGACCAGTCAAAATGGGCACTACCCAGACACCATCTCATCGCCCGTGGAAAAGAATTTCAGAAGTATATTCGCCCAAGAGCAAAGATACACGCGGTCTGGGTGGCTGGGGTATGTTTGGACATATACGTTGTCAGTCAAGGTGTCAGCTCTGACGCAAGCCTGATCCTGGAGACCTTGTCTTTGTCCCTGGAGGGTGTCGCTACGCAGTTTGAGGAGGCGTCTGCCCAGATGCCAAGCTCCTGCTTGGTTTGGGTGGCTTAGTAGCATTGAAACCGTCGTATGAAAAAGGTGTGCCTACAACGAAGTTACAGAATTGTTTTTAACTATTGTTTAAGTCTGATGTGAGGCAGACAACACTGTGAGGGAGAACAAAAACAACAGCGTCCTAAAGTACATGGGTCTGATGCTTTTACGACAGAAGATGGCCCTGACCGGGATCCAGTTTGGGAGAGTCGGACACAGTCACGGTTCGCTGGGTTACTTGGAGTTTGAGTTGGTGCGTGTTTCCAACGATGGGTGTTTGGCATTTTTGGAACTCATATGACCCCACCCATGCGGTTCATTTTCCCTGCCCGCTCAGACGCAACTAAGATCAACTATTCGGAATACTGGGAACCGCCATGAGACACATAGATCTCATCGTGGATGAGAATGATCTGGTGCAGAAACTAGGCTTACATTGAACTAGTTGTTGACAAATAATTACATATGATTGTGCAACCAACCCCTTCAACCTTGGAAGTTCGGTTCCTGTAGGAAAATCAAAGCGATCTGCGAACGCATCTCGATCCGGAAGTGGCTGGGCGCCGATGCTCGAATCAACGTGATTCCTATCAGTGCTGTGAGGCCTTGGAAACAATGGTTCCTTTGAAGCAGTCCTACTTCATGAACATGGCCATGTCATGCCGTGTCCCCCTCAAACGTGAAGCCACTTCCCTGTCTCGCTCGGAGCCGCTCAGGCTTGAAGCTCTCCCAGTGACCTATGCAGGCGGTCTCAGGGATGATTGCACAGGTTTGCACTCCTTTTTGTTTATGGCAAGACGAGGCCAGGGTCTGAACTACATGGAACTGCACCCAATGTGGTTTTTCAATTACAGTTCTACCTTTTTCAGCCCTTGTCCGTCAAACCAATGACAACTGTCCCGTGCCCCTGAGATATTCCTCGGAACTTGAAGATCAAATCCTATGGTCCTGCGGCCGAAACCATCATGGAACATGAGTTGGACGCCATTCTCTGCGTCAAGAGATTTGCATCAGATTTCCAACTAGCACAGGACTGCAATTTTGTTGATTCAGAAGTCATAGCTAGACTTTCGGGGAAGTGACTAGTGGGTGGATGTGGTGTTCATATCATTCTTTCAGGAGCCCATCCTAGCCTTGCCTTTCAAATACCTGGACTATTTGCCACCTCTTCCAAGTGTTGCTCGACCCCTGAAGCTTGCCACGCCGCCGAAATGCAAGGATTACTTGCTTCTCGCACAGGCGCTGCTGAACAGATTTCCAACTCAATGCATGGCCCGAGCGATTTCGTTCTTGATGCGTGTGGCTAACAATACAGATCCCGGTTCACTGGGGGATTTGATTTGGTTTTCCTCCCAGCGAAGGGCGGATGATGTTCAAATTCAAAATTTGGCAACCCTTTCAAAGGTTGCCCCTGCAATGAGATTTCGTGCCAGATTGAGGCAATGATGTGGTGAAAAGAGGTAGCATTGTTGATTCTGTATATTTTGTGCAGTAGTATCAGACTAGTTAGCAAACAAACCTGTGCGGATTGGCTGCCATGTTTGGCTGAAAGCGGATGGGGAAAACATGTCGGAGCCCACCCGCCCTTCCTTCAGGTTGGACTACAAGTCTGTCTTGGGTGTATCCTAATACCTGTTGGTTTCCCTGATCGCACCGTAGGCGAATGAACGCTAAGGCTGGGACACTTGACAAACTGCACGCCGTCTCGTAAAGATCCCCGGGACACCTGTGGCAGGTGTGGGAGGAAGGTCGAGCCTACAAACGTCGAAAGCTTGTGAGCAGGGCTTGGCTGTATATTCTTAGAGTTTCATGATTTAACAAAACACGCCAGGAAGAAGCAATGGAGAAGCTTCAACTCATAAGTGACCGACAAGTGGATTCTGTGGACTTAAATTACGAGGAGGTCAGGTCACAAGAATTATTGATGAAGCGTGGCGCTGGGCAGATACCCAGGCTTGATCGAAAAAGGCAAAGAAACCACAGGCTGGATCGGCGCCTGGAACCAGCTCGTTCCAGTTCAAGACGTTTGACAAGTTGTCGTGTTCATTGTTTTCTCTTTTGGGGGCTGGTCGACCCATGGTGTCATGTTCTAAGTAGCTTGCGAACCAATAAGCCACTAAACTAACTAATGGTGGTCATACTTTTTGCAGGTCAGAAAAAGAAAGAAAGAAGCCGTCGACCATCACGATGAGGCGGGCTTCGATGGCAGGTCAAAATAACCAAGAGAGGTCAAGAGAGTTGGCCCTATTTATTTTTGTGGCCTCTTGACCTTTCTTGGAAGTCTCACTCTGATTTCAAACCTGATGTACATAAGAACCCTTGCCTACCTTGATCCATGTCACCACTCTGCCATGCAGGTTGTGGAAATCTCCGATTGCACTGAGCTGGATAGCCCGGAGCCTGAAAGAACCCCTGCACATAGGTAATTTGTTATGCAGGTTTTCACTGCGATATTGGGAGTGTGAGTTGCACATTCCCAAAATTCATGCGCCCGACAAACACTTTCCTGGGCCTCTGTGTGAAAACGGACAAGATCAACATTTTTCAGACTCTGGAGAGCGTCAATTACTTTCATTGTCACACAGCCGTTGTCGGATTGCATTCTATTCAGTAACCAGTCCTCTCAAACAGGATGGGACAAGTGTCTCTCCAGGAGGCCGTGGCTAGGTTGAAGCTTAGCATGGAGAAGACGCCACGTAAGCGTGCAGCGGCCCCGAAGCCCGCAAAGTCAGTGAAGAAGATTCAGTTGAAGGGATACACCAAACCCAGGCCCAGTATTGGTTGATGGTCGAAATCATTGTTCAAAAATCAAATCGCTAAAGCCCGGGTCAACATTCCAACGTCTAATCCCAGTTCAATAGAGTCAGCCTGCCAGGTACTACCCAAAGACATCAGTCCCGATGGCCTCAGAGTGTGGACCAGCTGGCTTCACCTCAGTCAAGCACAGCTTCTCTTGGCCAACGGTGTTTTTGAATAGAATTTGCGGACAGTTTGGGGAAGGGTATGTAGCTCAGCGGCTTCGACAATGGAGATGGTCTTGTTCAACAGCATTCAGTGGTGTTGGCGCCCCGGAATCAGTCAGTACCCCAGCTGTAGCCACGGAGCCCCTTCCCATTGAATGGATTCATTATCGCTTGCCATCATGAGGCCTTGATGAGCCTGCAGTCAGCAGCCAAGGATTTTCTCCAAACAACCAACTCACGCACGAAGAATGTTGTATTCACTTCTACCTGTGAGTGTGACAGGGCTTGCCAACAGGTTCTCAAACACACCTACGGGGCCTGCAATTGGCCGGATATCACCCAACTAGATGCTTCAAAGCCGACAGCCTTCTGCACTACCCATGAGAAGAACTGCCGGATTCACATTGCTGCACCAAAGAGATGCTAAGCTGGAATTGGGTTGTCAACAATTTCTGAATGCCACGAGCCCCAACTATTTGCAGCTACATATTACATATTGCTTCATCTCAGGACTGAGGGTGACAGTGGCAGGTTGCTACCTTAGAAACCAGGTCCACTGGGTGTTTTCCAAAACAACCACGATCGTGCCAGGCCCAGTCTGCATCTCCTTCAGCTTGATGGGCAAGAAGGAAGGTGTTTCGAGCCCAGCGTTCAAGACACACGAGGGGTTCTATCGCCAAGCCCCACTTATGGCAGACGTCCTGATACTGGAAAACGTGACAGAATACTCTCCTGAGCTGGTCCAATCTCAGTTGGGAAAAAGCTGGACCCTGCAACATTGCAAAATTGACCCTAGACTGTTTGGTCTGCCGGCGGCTCGAGCGCGAATCTATCTCATCGCATACAAACACGACATTGTGTCATGGAGGCAGGAGGTCTCTCTGGAGTTGGTCCTGGGTGCCCTGGCATCAAGGGTCGTTAGGGATGCAGGGATGTACACGTGGATGTCTCTGCCTCCGATGACCTTGTCCGCAGCGCAGGAAGCACAACACATTTATTTGCAACCATGCCATCTACCCAGGGGTTTTAGATTATAGGTGGCTGCTCCCGCCCCAGGAGAGAAACCTGAAAGAGTACGACCAGGATGTCCGCCTTGAGGGGAAGCGGTTTCCTGATCTCAACCAACTAGCCCGAAACGGGCGAGGACGTGCCGAATGTTCCGATGGCTCCCTGCAGACCCTTACCTGTAACTCAGCTTCGATTTTTGACAAGGAGCCTCAGGGGCCTAAGGGTCATCCAACATGCTTATTGATCTAGACTAGTCTGCTGTTCCAATTATTAGTCCCTTGGTCCTGTAGGAGAAGCAGCGCAAATTGGACCCTCTCGAACTGATGAGCAGTCAGGTGATTCCGGTGACTGCTGAACAGGCTCGAATTTGCAAGGCGCCCAAATTAGATCTGGATGGGGTGCTTCCGTCTCTGGTTGCCAAAATGTCAGGCAACAGTATGTCGGTACCCTGTGTCGCTGCAGTTTGTTTGACGGCCATTTTGGCTTTGGACTTTCGTTGAAGTTCAGCCCAGTGCAAGATTGGGTCTGATCGCTGTGAAATTCACTTAATGACATAATCACTCAATGAGTGGATGGCTGACTTGTGAAAATGGTATTGCGTCAAACACTGCCTTCACAAGTCTTTGTGGGTCGGTCCCCAAATCTCAACCCCGCAGGTCCTCATAACTACCATATAATATTATTGTATGTGGGGCCAAGATTCAGGGACCAGCCCCACGTGGAACCACACGGACGGTCAGCGCGGAGGTAGATTGATCGAGTGTCTTTGCAGCGAACAACCTTGGTCCCAAAGCCTTTTTGTTCAGAATGGGGAAACGCGCTGCTCCAG